GAATTCAGGTCATCAAAATATTCTACTTCAGTAAGGTAAAACAGTACATGAGAATGCTAAACAGTACACTAAGTAGACAAAATATTTTATGTAAATGAACTGATTCAAAATGGTAGAACTTTTAAACTAAAGATTCTGACAAGACGAAATATGAAATCAAAATTCTTCATGTAGATTTTTTCTTTATACTATCAAGATGACACAGCTCCATAAAACGTTCGATTTTCAACAGAAATTAAGAAAAACCCTGAATCCTCCAATAGCAAAACTGCTCTAATGCAAATTCCTCTTCCAGCTCTAGTTCTCAGCCGTAAGACCTAGTAGAAAAATGAAATCACATAAGCTCTAAATAAAAATATCTCCTAGAAGACGTGCAAAGAGGTTCCTAACACAGTAGTTTGCAAAGGCTCTTTCTGGTCACAGAAGCCTACAGAAGAAAAGGCCTGAGGAGACTGGCAAGTCCCAGGCAGAGCAGTCACTTCTACTGACAGTAGTTTAAGGCATGAAGTTTCAATGTCCATCACCACCTGCTGAAAGTAACCTGCAAACATAAATGAGAAACAGAGATGCAGGCAAACCATAAGTGTTCAATCACTTTTAACGATGTAACAAACATTTTATACATGCCTACATAATTTCTGTAGCCACAGAAGCAGTAAGAGCTCCTCACCATCACATCACACAGAACCACTACAAGAGATGGAGCCCTCTAGGTGCTTGATGAGAAGAACCTGCTATGTAACCATTACTGTGCCACATACAGGTCTACTTCAAACCCTTCGGTTTTGGTTCAGAAAATGTTTTTCTCTCAGACATGTTCCTTGACAACAGTAAAACATACAGGACCTCAAGGACTATGGTACGACCAGACTAGAGAGCATGATTTCTAACCTTACAGCTTGTTCCCTAAAACCCACTTATTTTCACAAGGACAAACAAAACATTGGAACCTACAGGAAGGCTGGGGAGGGACTTTTTACAAGTGTCCACTGATAGGACAAGGGGAAATGGGTTTAAGTTGAAGGAAAACAGATTTAGATTAGATCTTAGGAAGAAATTCTTCAGTACGAGGGTGGTAAGACTTTGGAATAAATTGCCCAGAGAAGTTGTGGATGGCCCCTCCCTGGAAGTGTTCAAGGCCAGGCTGGATGGAGCCTTGAGTAGCCTGATCTAGTTGAGAGGCGTCCCTGCCCATGACAGGGAGGTTGGATTAGATCATCTCTAAAGTCCCTTCCAGCCTATGCCATTCTATGATTCTATGAGTCTATGATTTTTAAAAACAGTTGTTTCCCACTTTCCTTCACGATATGTGAAGTCCCGAGTACACAAACAAGATTACATCCACTATTCAGATTACGACCACAGTAAAGCATTTTCTCCAGACCATTTTGCAAAGCGCTCTGTTTCCATGCTAGGTTCCCACACCAGCCACTGAAGTCCTGGAGGTGCTGGAGTAAAACTTCCCTTGAACCTTGTTACCTCTCGAAGTTCTCAGGCAGCTGAAAATGAAACCACTGTTTTCTTTGTGTCACCTCCTGCTCGCCTATTAGCAACTCTCGCTAACACAGAAAGGATATGCTTCTCTACACCTAGCTTGAATTTTCTGCTTTACAAGAGTTCTCAGGCAGCAAAACTAGAGAACTCACACAAGCTTCAGCTCAGAAGCCCTTCAGTGAAGTGCTGTGCACAAGAATTTTCCCCTTTTAAAAGCAGGACAGCCTATTTCTAACTGTAGATTCCTGACATAATGCACTATTTCATTAACTTTGTAATACTCAACCTGCCCTAGTACTTTTTAAAATACACATTATGTCATGGTTTAACTCCCAGACAGCAACTAAGCATCACACAGCTGCTCACTCACTCATCACCCAGGTGGATGGGGGAAGAACTGGAAGTGTAAAAGTGAGAAAGAAACTTACGAGTTGAGATAAAACCACTTTAATAATTAAAAATAAATAATAATAATTTCAAAGAATTTTAAGGAAAAGAGGGGAAAAAAATAACAAAAAGAGAGGAAAATAAAACCCAAGGAAGAAGCGATCCAAATGAAAACAATTGCTCGCCACCAACTGATGCCCAGCAAGTTCCCAAGCAGTGGCCCCACCGCCAATCTCCACTTCAGTTTTATTGCTGAGCATGATGTCATACGGTATGGAATATCCTTTTGGTCAGTTGGGGTCAGCTGTCCCAGCTGTGTCCCCTCCCAGTTTCGAGTGCACCCCCAGCCTCCTCGCTGGTGGGGCAGTGTGAGGAGCAAAAAAGGCCTCGACTCTCTGTAAGCACTGCTCAGCAGTACCGAAAACATCTCTGGACTATCAACGCTGTTTCCAGCACAAATCCAAACCAGCCCCATACTAGCTCCTATGAAGAAATTTAACTCTATCCAGCCAAAACCAGTATACATTCCCAAAATCTTTTTCATCGAATGATAATACAGTATTACAATCACTCCCTAAGCAAGGATTTTGGTTAAAAAGCCTGAAAATGGACTACCATTCAGCTATCTATCACTAAGAGGAGATTTGGAGTTTTAAATCCTAGGAGGCATTAAGTGTCTAACAGAATCAGCTGCTACGTTTAACTCCATTCTTTTTCAATTTCAATGCTAGAAATGATCACACAGAGATTATCTTGTATCAGTAACAAGTGGAATCAAATTCAATGTTATCATTTCCAAGCCAAAAATAAAGTTAACTCCATAATCTTACAGCCAAAGTAAGGAAAGCTCTTTGCCTGCTCGTGATGACAAAAAGCTAAAATTACTATGTCCTGACAAACAGAAAGAAATAAAAGAGAACTTGCCTCTGTAAACTGGACTCAGGTAAACAGCCTGCAAAACACTTTTTAAACCAAAGATCGTAAGGCAGTTTGCTCATTGCAGCACATGCTTTCAGATGCATCAGGAGTCTGTTATCTTCAATGCTCAAATACTGCTCCAGAATTTTTGGCTGAGAAAGGAATTGGAAAATTTTGGATAACTCACATCAGAGTACCCTCCATAGTTACCGCACACTGTAAGACAAGAAATGTCTTAAAAATTCAATCCGCATAAAATAACACGTTAAAATAACAAACCTGCATTGTTTTAACTAAAAACATATTCCAAAACACAAGTGTTGCTGATTTTTGCAATTAGCTAATTAAGTACTTAACTAAACAAACCACCTCCAGTTCCTTAAATTGCTGACCACCAGCAGCACTTCCAAAATACGCAGCATCCCCTAATGCAAGGAGGTATTTGAGAGCTTAAGGTGATGCAGAGGTTAAATGTGCACTAATTACTGTTACCTTCACAGGTAAAATGGAGTTTCATTCACCTCAAACCCAATCACCTCAACATACGCCAAAAAAAATCTACACGCAATGCAGCAAAACCCAGAAAATCAATTCTGAGAGTAAACTCCTGTGTGACATCTTAAAAGCCGTACATTGATTTCTTGTTTAAAAATCCAAAGTATTCAGAAGCATGAACACGTGGATTATTATCCACACAAAAGTGTAGGTAATTCTCATTTTGTTTAAATTCTAATGTTACACAACACGCATTTTCATTGATTCAGGAGCACCTTCATGCTTTTTGTCATAATGAGGCAAACAGCTAATGACTTCAGCTGTCAAAGGGAGAAAACACTTCCTTTGTCCACATTCTAACATCCAGAGTCTTGGTACCACGTTTGTATTAAAACAAAAACTTAGGGAGGGAGATGCTTGGCACTCCCTATGTAGTGAGAGCACACATTTTCTTTAAAAATGCTTCTCTGTCCTTTGAAACTAATTACAGAAATTGGTAGAGTTGAATCTATCACGTCCAGCAACACGAAGTAGGTTTAAAAAGTATTTCTTAGTTCCACAAGAACTAGTGATTGCTAATGTACAAGTACTCAGTGGATACTGTAAACTAGAAGTTTCTTAGCTGTTAAGACTACCTGAAGAATTACAAAAGCTTTTGTAATTTTTATAAGTATGCATTTTCTTTGCAATCAAATTTTAATTTTATAAACTAGTAAGACAAATTCAAAATTAATATTCTATGAGAGAATTTCAATTATCAGTGCCAAAAGAACACTATTCCATCTTTTATTATAACTTAATTTGTAACATACTGTTTTTCTGAAGACGTAGCACCCTGCTCCATTTATAAAGCAAAACAATTGTGCTTTGTCTATCATCCAATGAGCAGCATATGGATGCCAGAGATGCAGCCTAAAAAGCAGCAGACAGACATCAAGATGTTCTTAACTTTGTGACATTTTTAATTGTTTAAAATAAAGAAAACTCTTAAGTGACCAATTTGTAAGAAATATAATTCAACTAGATACAATGTAAGCTTTAGCTAACCTGAAAAGAAAATAAGATGTAACTGAAAACTACCAGGTAGCAAACAAAAATTTCTAATGCTATGTTAGACAGTGTCATATACGACAGCACAATCACAACACAAAAGCGCTCCTCCTGTTTTCTCAAAACAGTTGGTGGAACAGAATCCCAGAGTGTCACCTCTAAGGCTCCAGTTGTCTCCACACAGTGTTTTTTCCTTACCAGTTGTTGTAATGAATCTTTGTGCTTGCTGTTCAGCTGATTCACAAAGCAACTGACAAGCCAATAGCATTCTATAGGATCCTCCACCATTTCCTCCATTGCTTTAGCGATCGCAAGAAACACTTCGTCTTCAGGTTCCTGGAAAACAAAGCCAAAAAAGTGAACTACACACAAGTATTGGACTATCAGGTTTAAATTATTCCTATGTTCCTTTTCCCTGCTATTTGGGAAAACAAACTGGAATCAACGTACGCAAAGAGCTGTTCTGACATTCACAGATAAAATATCAGGCTGCATTATGGTGACAGATACCCATCAAAGCAGAACAAAAAAGGCTTGTCTTGCTTTTAAAACCAAAACACACAACAGGAGTTTGGAACAACTCTAATTTGAAGTTCTCAAATGACATAATATTACATCCCAGCAAGGTAGGGATAATCCTATTTCTATGCCCCACGTTTTTATACCACATAGCAGCAGAATTTTTCATCCTGTTCCTTGCTAAGGGCCAAAGAGGCCCCTCAAACACCTTTGTCATGGATGTTACAGTTACTGAAAAAAAAAAAAAAATGCAGCCATGAGCTGTATGCCTACCTTCAATATACAGAAAATCATTCGGTTTGAGAAAAACATATTCCTAGAGACAAATAAATATCTTCTCCATGTGACAAGTATCTTATTCCCCACAATACAAGACCAGTAGCATGTGATGGGCATGCCATTATCTGTTCTCCTGAGCATATACTTTCCTGACAGAAGTTTCAACATGCCTAAACCACAATTAATGGTATGACAGCACATAGCATAGATGGAGGCAAACTCAATCAGCTAGATCTCATGCCAAGAGTTGACTCAGGAAGTGTCTAAACTGGGAAGATGCACAAGGAAAGGCTCGATATTTGCCCTCTTACATCTTCCTTACACAGGCAGTACTGACCACATTAGGAGGCAGGGTAACAAGTCAGATATGTATCCACAATCTGATCAACTGTAGCCATCAGCAGCAGTGAGCAATAGTACCACTGGCTTTTGCACAGATTACAACTCATGCAAAACGTGTGGACAGTCTAAATACTACCAGGATACGACTCTGCTACATAAACTGCTGCAATACACACACATCCCTACTTAAACACTCTGCTTTCAGATGCACAAAACATATTCAGCAGACTTCTATGATTTCCAACTTAAATGTGTATTTCAAAATACTTAGGCCAATCCAACATCATCTTTATATTCCCTCTGCCTCCACAATAAAACATCTGCACTACTATCAAGCAGTAACCTCTTAAAAGTTTAAGGGGACAGCGACTGCACTGAAAACAGGTTGGCATAAAAAGAGAACAAAGAGTTTCTGCAGCAAAACAAACACAGGTTACAAGCATAATAACTGGATCTGCTAAAGACCACCTCTGGTAACCCCCATCACAGTATTGAGAGCAGCTAGTGTTCCGGGATGCACTGACAAAACACCTGCTCAGAAAGTGATACTGCTCTAGAAGGGATGAATTCTCAGCCCACTGGGTCACAGGCCAAGATCAAGGAAATTTCTCTACAGGAAACGTGCAGGGTAAGACGGTCACACTCCTAGGCAATGGTAAGGGCACAAAGATATTCTCCCTTCTCTGACAAGAGTATGCTGTATACAGTTCTCCAGTCCAAAATACTACTGGATTTTCCACATCAACTTTGTTTAACTTTGTCTTTTTTTAAGTTCTGATGTCAAATTTTGTTATTACAGATGAAAAATAACAAAATAAGCAAGATGAGCTGGAGTGAACATGGATAAATTAACATTAAACATAGGATAAAGTATGTTTATCACACTTCAGAAAGTTCCATAGCTCCTTTCATCATCTCATCTTTCACAGATGCTCACACATAAGATCCACAGACAGGATCCACAGATTGCTTTTATCATCACAGTATAGCCTCGTCATCAAAATGGACTCATTTACCCACATGTGAGTACACTGTAAAACACAGAGTACACACATTATCTAACAGAAGCCTGCATCAGTTCAGACTAAGAGAAAAAGCAGGTCAGTACATTAAAGTATAGATTTAAAACCAAATAATTTTAAAATATGATGTAATTTGCAACAAATCGCTACTTATACTGGCTCTGAAATACCTTTGCTCCAGGACATTTAAGAACCTACGAGCTTCAGTAACATTATGCCATTTTTATTTCAGTGCTATAAAGAAACCGAAGTGTACTAGAGTACAAAAGGCTCGAAGCCTAGCAGGCAAAATACACAAAAGAGATTTTAAGGCGCAACATCTTACATAAGTACTTAGGGGAAGAAAAAGAGAAAAGCACTTTGACTAAAATCCCTTATTTTATACCAGCACTTCCCTGGTTTCCATTCACCTTACTTTGTCTATCTAAGTGCGTCTGTGGGACTACTTGCAGTTCAGTTTCTCACAGGTTTATAGTCTGAAGTTAAATAAAGCATTGTATTTAAAATACTGTTAAAAGAACAACTGACCAACGGAAAAGCCAAGTTTCGAGGCAACTTTCCTGATTCCAGTTGATGTATGCGGAGGAAAACATCTACCTGTGGGGTAGAATCATTAATAAAACGAATTACGCGAAGAGCATGGTGTATGTCCCAGTACTGCTCCTTCCGGTACTTCATCACCAAAGCATGAGATTCATGGTGAGGAGGAATAATTCCTAAAAAGAAAAATAAATAAATAAATAAATAAATACATAATTAAAAAAAAATAAAACAAAATATAAGCAACGGTAAAGAGGAAAAACAGCACCCAAACTCCCTTTCAAAGAGATTTGCCTAAATTGAATTCCTACTACAACTACAGCCTACAGAAATGTAGGACCTGGCACTGCAGTTTGTTTATAAACTTGGTCAAAGAAAACAGGGAAAAAATTCTACAAAACTGGGAGTCAGTGGACCAACAAAGCACTTTAGCATCAGATTTACAAAAACTAATTCCACATGTTAAGTAAGCATAGCCAAAATATACCCTTAGACTACTGTTTCTCAAGTTCTTCTACAAGATTTGAAGCAAACACATGCTAACTCTTTTATATACCACATCAGTATGCTGATAAGAAATGTCATTGTTGGGATAGATGGAAAATAATTTAATTGGTTTACTCTGCCTCTCTAAGCAGCTTTATTTTTAAATTGTGAATCCTACTTGTTACTTGTTCATAGAATCATAGAACGGCATAGGCTGGAAGGGACCTCAGAGATCATCTAATCCAACCTCCCTGTCATGGGCAGGGACGCCTCACAACTAGACCAGGCTACTCAAGGCTCCGTCCAACCTGGCCTTGAACACCTCCAGGGAGGAGGCATCCACAACTTCTCTGGGCAATTTATTCCAAAGTCTTACCACCCTTGTACTGAATAATTTCTTCCTAAGATCTAATCTAAATCTGTTCTCCTTCAACGTAAACCCATTTCCCCTTGTCCTATCATTCATACCTACCTGTAGTTTTTAGTACGCTACTAGTTGCACACTTGTGCCCAGCTTTCATTTATTTTGAAAACAAAGCGGATGCAGAGTGATTTTTATACACATTATCTGCTTATGTTCTCAAATTCTCCACTTTGTCTCAGATGACTAGAGAACACGTACATGCAATTAACTAATGCAAAGATACCATACTTTTCAGTATTACTTCATTTACTTTTACAGCTCTGCCAGAAAACTCTTTACTCACTGTATTATAGAGATCAGTCCTCTCTAAAATAACATTCAGAAGCAAAATCAATCACATAGGTTCAATCAGATACACATTAAAACTTAAGAATACCACCCAAATACTTTGCGAGGTAACGTCTTTTACTTTCTTAGCACAATACATTTTTTTTTCTAGTTTCCTAGGAGCAAAAAATAAAAAAGGAAAAAAAAAAATCTAAGCAAAGAGGCAGAGAAAATAAAACTGTTTACAATCTCCAGAAGAGATGCTCAACACTTCACTTGATCCTTCCCCTCACTCAAGGCTCAATCTTGCCATGCACTGACGTTCACAATGAAACCATCACAGGCTTCAACAGAGATAAGATCCTACATACATCAAAGCAAAAAAATGCCACTTCCGTATCGCTAGTGGAGCAGAATTTTTCCCTTTGTAGAAACCCATTAGAACAAAGTATTATTCAAAAATCAGTTCTGAAACAGACTGCTTGCTGCTTTTATCTCTTATTTAAAGAAAAAAATATTCCTGCCAAGTGTTAAACCATGAAATGGTTGAGTTTTAGTAACAAGAACAGCAGATAGAAAATTATCTTTTATTTTCCAACTGCAAACCTGTCTGCATTTCACAAGCCGGGACAGAGTAAGACATTTTTCACAGCATGCAAAACCAGAGTCAACATCATGATTTTGTACATTTTGTACAAATACAGAAAACTACCTTAGACAGACAGAAAAGAAGCTGAAACAACACAGGGATGTCATCTAGAAACCATCATGAGTCATACTTGAACATGAATTTAACAGAGGCATTGTTTCTGGGTCCAGAGGAGGGCCACGAAGATGATCCGAGGGCTGGAGCCCCTAAGCTATGAAGACAGGCTGAGAGAGTTGGGGCTGTTCAGTTCTTCTCAGAGAAAAGAAGGCTCCAGGGTGATCTTACTGCAGCCTTCCAGTACCTACAGGTGGGGGGGGCTACAGGAAAGCCGGAGAGGGGCTTTTTACAAGAATGTGTAGTGACAGGACAAGGGGCAATGGCTTTAAACTGAACAAGGGGAGATTTAGATTAGATCTAAGGAATCATAGAATCATAGAATGGTTAGAGTTGGAAGGGACCTCAAAGATCATCTAGTTCCAACCTCCCTGCCATGGGCAGGGAAACCCTCCACTACACCAGGTTGCCCAAAGCCTCATCCAACCTGGCCTTGAACACCTCCAGGGATGAGGCATCCACAACTTCTCTGGGCAACCTGTAAGGAAAAAATGCTTCACTCTGAGGGTGGTGAGGCACTGCAACAAGTTGCCCAGAGAAGTTGTGGATGCTCCATCCCTGAGAGTGTTCACAGCCAGGTTGGACAAGGCTTTAAGCAACCTGAGTGGAAGGTGTCCCTGCCCACAGCAGGGAGTTTGGAACTCGATGATCTTTATAAGGTTCCTTCCAACCCAAACCATTTTATGATTGCTGACATACCATGTAACCTGGGACAGCATTGTGTTGGAGATAATTTTGTTCCCAGGATAGAATCTCTTTTGTTAAACTATTAACATTGTTTAGAGGACATGTAACACCTCCCACCAGAAACAGCCTGGGCTGCTGTTCCCATCATTTACGGAAAGACACTGCATCGCCATTCTGAACACCAGCTATTCTAATGAGTGTTAACACTGAGATGCAGAAGAAAAGTCCTGGTACCTCTGTCCACTGAAGGAGTATAAAGAATGACAGAATCCATACTTGAAACACATCATTCTAGGTTTAAAATTAAAAAGCCTTTTAAAAAATTGATGTAATTTCCCATGCAGTTAACTTAGTGTTTTGTGTTACTGTATAATTCACAAATCATCCTGAAAGTCAAACGTACATCACCGGCTCTGCAGTGAGCTACAAGTTTGCCAAGAGAATGTATTTTGCTCTCACAATTTTGGCTGAAGAACTTTGCACTAAGTCACCTGTCCAACCCTCCTACACTGTATTTCCTACTACTAATATTTTAAAGGATGCTGACCACTTCGCTAGGGCCAGGGCTCAAGAATCTTTTGGATCTTAACACAAGTACTCTTGTGGCAGAGGCTTTTCTCAAGTAGGATGACTCGGTTAGTTCAACGATCGATGTCCGGAATGTCAACTTCTATAACAGATCTTGCACCTTCTGCGTGTGCACTGTTAATTTACTACCTCTCCCAAAAAAAGGGTTACGAATCCAAATAATCAGGAATATGAAGCCACAACTAAAGGCAGAAAAAGGAGGAAGAAAAAGCATTTTAAAAGAGTGTTTAAAACTCAGCTAGAACTTTCTAATACATTATTTCAACTGTAGTAGAAAATGGAAACCAACAAGGGAAACAGAAGACATTTACTTGAACATTGTTCAAGATCATGGCACAGCCTAAAATAAATACACATCCTAAAACAGAGACAATTCAAAAAAAAATTAAAAAAAAAATCAGTCTGACATAGGAGTCACCAATCTTCCTGACTGAATCGCATTGTCTCTCCAATGAAACAATATTTCAGATATCAGCATCCTTCCTGCCAGCACAGCCCTGGTAATACAAGACTCAGCATGGGAGTCACACTCAAGCTTTTCAAAAGTGGCACAATGCTCCGCCACCAACACGGTACATCCCATTTCCCTTCCAGAGATTGTCAGACAATGTAACTTCACACTCAACCTGGCAGTGTTTCTTTACACACAGCAACCCTAAGGGGAAACTCTCCAGGTATCTTGTGAGGGTCAGAACTCCCAGACCTTCCACAGCCCCTCCTGTCTTCAGATGACATGATCTTTCATCTGGTAAACCCAACACACTTGATCAGTTACTTCAAAGTCACTAGTACTTTTTAATTAGCCATCTGACTAACGCACTTGAAGGAAAATAGAATCTATTCATGGTTTTTTATGGTTTCTGAGGATACTACAATTTGTCTCTGGCCTCATAACTTCTTCAATGGCAAATACAATTTAAAGCCAGAAGCAAAACCAGAAGAAATCAAGATTTTACAGCACACACAGTTTCTCTTTAGAATAAACACCCACTCCATACCTTGCCCAGTTTTTGTTAAGTTTAACCACAGCTTTACTTCAGCTGAATTGCCTGTTAACTTAGGAGCAGAACTGAATATCTTCTCAGGTATCCGTGACTTATTATAATCCACTTTTCAAATTTACTTGGATAGTGTTACAAAGTTAAATATAGAAATACATTCTTCTAGGTACACTTCAGCAAAAGTTCTCAAAAACTATGTATGGAATATTGTTTTATAATTGCCCTAGATGAATACAGAAGCAGGCTAAATACGTATCAGTAGGCAAAGCAGTACAGAATAACCCATGTCATTAACTCTCAAAAAAAACCCACCACAAACCGAGCAAACCCACAAAAAACACACCTTCCTACATACTCATTTCTACAGAGGATCACAGATGTTATGTTTCATACCTAAAAGCACCTTCCACACCAGTATACGATACATGGATGGGAGAGGAAACCTTTGACTAAACGTGCAAAGCTTCTCAATATCTGTAGATAAATAAAGAGAAAAAATATTAAGGGAAATTTAAATATAATCATCAATAGATTTGAGTCTCTGATCTACTTAAGTATGACAAATCCTTAGCTGCTGCAGATCAAAATCCCCACTTTCATCATATATTATCAACAGATGCTTTCACTGATTCAAGAACAGAATGTGCCCTGTAAACCACAACAATTTTGAAAAACATACACATTGGCTTGATTTACAGTAAAATTCCCTAGATTTCACCAGGAAGAAACTGTAACAGTTTCAGAGATGTTTTGTAAATTGCGTTACTATGCCTAAACAATTAAAGGCCTTGTTGAAGGGATAACATTTATCTCTGTGTTCTGTTAGAGATGCGGCATGCCCCAGGGACCAACAGCAATAACAAAATCTTCATTATTTTGAGGTTAGATGGAATTAACAGCAGGAGATGATATATTTTCAGATGAAAATTGTTGTCATTAAAAGGTTTCAGTTTCTTGGGCATAGAGAATGAGAGAAGAAAACAAAAAGAAACAAGTAAGCAGACAAACCTTTAACGGTTTTTAAAAATCAGATTTTCAAATCTTTGAAACTCAGAGGACTGCTTGTAATAACTGAGAGATTAGTGGTAAAAGATGCAAAACTTAAATATTTGAGTACTAAGCATAAGCAAAGCACCTAACCATTTTCTGTTACTCCATCCCCAGCTCCAAATCACCAAAGTCAGAGAGGAAATGGTGAAACCAACTTGCCCAATCGGTCATCTTTTAACAGAATTTCCAGCGACTTCTTTTCTTCAACTCCACGAAACCCTACTTTTTCATAATACACCGAGCGGAAGTTTCTCTGAGAGTCGTCAGCCATGATTGATTCCTTCTAGAGAAACAATAATTCCCCCTTGAGAGTTACAAGAATATATTCCTATTGCATTAAAGTCAAGTACTTTTACACACCCATAAAAGTTGACTGCCTATGTCTCTACAGTATTAATAAATTCTATAGCATATGAAAATCTTCCAAGATTATTTTTCAGCATATGCTAACATAGACAATGATAAAAATAACTGGATATAAAAACAAGGACTAAAGAGATCCAATTTCCAAATGAACCACCAAGATTTATTTTTTCAGTTTTATTCCTGCAGCAAATTACACTACTTTTCAAAAAGTTTTAAAAGAAAATGCTGGAGAGACACTTAGTCTTTTACGTGATATGGTATATTTCAAAACCAATATAAAAAATACAGTTAGGAGTCTGACAAAATTGGCTACAGATACCCTAATCAAGCAAAACTGTTATCCAAAGAAGTAAAATCATCAGGTTTCATACTCACCGGCCAAGACAGCCAGCAGCAAGGTCACGCCGATGTTGGCCTCAGTAGCACGGAGGTGACAGGAAAGAATAAGAATAAGACTAGGTATGCAGGTTTGTTCTCAAGTTGCAGATTTGAATTAAACGTTCACGTTGTTATCAGGTGCTGCAACAGCCATAGTCTTGAGCTTGCCATTCCAGTACTAAAAAGAAATGAATGTCTCATCCCTATACTGGAAACAATGGCAAATTGCAGTGAGTACTCTGTGTTTCACAACAAACATGACCAACACTTCAGTTCAGTTCAACCTTCTAAATAACAAATCCCTCTCCTTCGCGGGCTTGCAAATATGAGAAAGTTCTGTTTTGTAACTCAAGTATTAAAAACAACGCTAACTTTTAAGCCCAGTGACAGAAGCGAAATTTGGTGAAAAACTACTTGTTCCCAGTGAGGAGCAACGGGTGAATTATGCACTGAAAAGCTTTTCTAGTGAAATTCTTCTTTTCCTTGCTGAACTGAAGCACAAATCAGGAGCAAAGTATTTGCAGATATAAACAAAAGCCACAATTTGGCAAAGAATGCATGTATTTAAATTTGTACATCCACTAGGCCTGTTTGCATTTCAAATTAAGTCCATTTTCAGTGCTTTGTAGGATCAGGGCCAAGATCAGCCAGAAAAATGTAAAGCAGCAAAGGACTGAATTAATGCCTTCTGAGCTCGAACAACTAGTAGCTCAAAACTAGAGAAAAAATATTTATATTACTTGGAAGAATCTCCAGTTGTGTGCTATCCTTTTGAAAATGTGATATTCACGTATTGTGCATTTAAGGGTCCGGTGATCAGAGTGTTTACTCCTCATGTTGCAGTCATGTCCAAAAGCAGACTTACGATGCTACAGACACTCAACTACATATAAAATACTTGAAATTTTTTAAATCTGCATTTAATATGTGCTGTTTAGAAAGCAATTAGCTTGTGGGAAGCTGACAGCTGACAGTCACAGAACAGAAGCAATCAATATGGTTTGAAAAATAACAGCATGATCTGTAAGAAAGGACCGCTATTTCAATAAACTATCACTGTACAAGCAGTACACTTGATATACTCAGTGGAAAAAAGAAGGAACACTGTTTCCTCCCTCTCTGGCTCCGTATTTAGGATATGTATTTTCATTCTAGGCAAACAACCAGCGTTCCAAACTTTACATGTATCCTCAATAAATTGGGAAAAAAGAAGGGGGAAAATAAGTCCCTAGCCATCTCACTGGAAGTGTTCTGTATAAAAGAGCACGATTAACTCATCCTGCCTTCACAGACTCATGCATTCTCAGCCTTAACAGCACTTTTCGTCACTATTAAGTTCCACGCCAGGTGATTCCAGCAGAGCAACGAACAGAAACACCGCGCGAAGGGGCGGGCAGATGCCGGCCGACCTCT